ATGGCGCTTTCGGATCCGAAAATTCAGCGAGACACTTTAAATACTCGCTTCACAAGTTTCTATAGTTTTTACAGCTACTCTGCTCGAATTTCCAAGAAGTCAACCATAATTGGATCTACTCGTCAGTGTTCTTCCATTTCAGCCAGGAAATCTACTATCCAAGAGGAGCAGGTGACGGCAGCACTTTTGAGAGTGATGAACACTTCAAGCGGTGATGGTCTGGAAAATGCACGTCGATTATACCAGTGGCTGCTAGAAGGCAGATTCTGCTCGAACAAGGATGCCTTCATATTGTTATTTGTTGAAAGAGTGCTTCAAAGGTGAGTCACAATGAAAGGATCAGAGGAACGGAAGGTAGCTCCGTGGACGAACCCCTTTTTTATTTTACTCCTTAGCATACGTAGGCCTTTCCTATTTTCGTAGCTTGTATGATAAACAACAAAAATGTCCCGCACAAGTACCAACCATCTTCCATGCTTATTTTAGTCACAGTGTTTACTCACTGCACTTCGGCACTCCATACACTTTTCCTAGCTCTTCATTAGTACCAAATCACGTCGTACGTCGGGGAATCCCCAGCTCGGAGGTGCCTGCCGTCGTTGTCGCTGGGGGAAGGGGATCATATTTTGTCTGAGAAATCATCTTAATAGTTAATTTTCCTTGTTTCACGATGTCAGACACTATCCCCCGTATTTCTTCCTTCGGAACAACCCTTTTCCTATCCTACCCAGCATCTTTCTAAGCATCGCCAACCACAACCTTTCCAGACTTCCCTCCCCTCCTGATGGGATGCTGCTAACGATGGTGTACCCTCGTTGCATGGCTTAAACGGCCCTATCGAGTGTGTTGAAGAGGAAGTTATGTAGCCGAAGTCGGCTATGAATCGTTTCGAAGGCCCATCCCATAATTGTTCGGCATAGGTGTGGATTATGACGGTCTGAGTTGGAAGTGAAGGAGCTGCTGAGCTGCTCGCTTTCAGAGGGGGAATCGAAGGGGAGCGGGAAATTTCTCTCGTTTGCTGACACCATATCGAATTCACTGAAACCACTTTTTGTACGCTGTCAGGTTATCCATCACACTGAGTCCCCACTATTTATATTTACATCATTATTAGTGTGTATTAAGCAATGTTGCAAAGTCCAAAAGGTTTATTTCCTAGCTTTCATTAGTACCAAAACCAGTCGTACGTCGGCTTGAATTTTGAGTTTCACATTTGTTAATACACATTCAGATGAGTAATGAGACCTCGGACAGCCCATACTCCGATTTTACATCATTATTTAGTGTGCTTCTGTCGCCACGCTGCGGCTACCGGTCTTGGAGTGACTTTGAGCCTAATAAAGGTTTCGAGGAAATAAGGCCACTATGGCATCCTACTATATATATCCGCTAAGTGTGTCTGTGTGGTGTGTGTGTGTGTTTGTGTGTCACGAAATTCATAACACCTGTCCCAGTGGCAGAGAAACATTGATTCCAGGAAGTGATGGAGGGGGTGTGACGGGAACACCATTGGTGGGTGACAGGATGTGGTATCAGTTGATAAGATTCGATAAGAGGCGTCCAAAGGGGATGGCCACCCAGTCCATAGTGCGGGCCACTGCAGCAGTGGGACGTTGGTTCCGAGTGAAATAGGGGGTGGGACGAAAACATTATTGGTAGGCGACAGGATGTGATAGTGATAAGATTTGATAATGGGCATTAGAAGGGAAAGACTACCAAAGTCATTGTGCGGCTCACATTAACAGTGGGTCCTTGGATCCGAGAGGTGATATAGGGTGTGAGACGGGAACATTATTGGCGGGTGACAGAAAGTGATAACAGTTGATAAGATCCGATAAGGGGCCTCGGAAGGGGAGGGTCATCAAATTCGTAACGCAGGTTACAGCAACAGTGGGACCTCAGATCCGTGAGGTGATATAGGGTGTGGGACGGGAACATTATTGGCGGGTGGGGGGGGGAAACCCAAGAAAGTGATAACAGTTGATAAGATCCTATAAGGGGCCCTCGGAAGGGAAGGGTCATCAAATAAGTAACGCAGATTACAGCAACAGTGGGACCTCGGATCCGATATGGGGTGATATGATAGTGATACGGAAAGGGAATATTATTGGCGGTACGGAAGTGATGGGAGCTAAAATTGGCAAGGTAACATGGGAAAATCCGCTTCACCGCTCACAACAACAGCGATCGATATGACTCAAGTATAACCATCTTAATGATTCCAGAACTCATTGCTCGCTGCTTATTAGTAACGACATCGTGTACGACCGCTAAGCCAGCTCTATTCCAAATGCATGTGGTTTGTTTACAGAGATGTTATGAACAGCAGCAACTGACTTTATCACTCTTACCACAATTATCTTCCATCAACAACTTTAGTGAGGGCCATTTAAAGGGTTCCACTGCTGAATGCGGGTGCATTCCAAAGCAGACGCTTAGGAAGGACAGAATGCATAAATTATAGGCTGCTTCAGCGGCTATCCTAACAGGCTGCACTATTTCCGTGTAGGTTATGAACGTACCAGTCGGATCGCTGGCTAAGGCCGGCTCCTCCTTCTGATGCGGGGGGGGGGCGCTGCTGCTGCTTCTGCGCCTTGACGGAACAAGCGCTGCTTTTCAGTTCTTGGCTGATGCAGAAGATTCCTTTGAACAGTGTGGTTGGTCAACGATCCTTAACTTAGCACGCGGCAAATCCGCATGGCCCGGCGAAGCCGGGCCATGTCACAGAAGGAGGAGCGCCCTGGCGACAGCCGGGCGATCCGACTGGTAGTGGTGTAGCACCCTTGCCATAGATAGTTCAGGTCACGGGCTTCGGCAATGTCCGCGCTTTATGCTAGCCGATTTCAAAGTGTGTGCCTCTAAAGTTTTGACTACTGTTACAAGTTTTATACTTCATTTACTGGATGAGTGTGGTGCAGTGGTAAGTGGCGCTAGTTACTGCACACACGATCGAAGTGTCAAATCTGCACTTTATATGCAATATGCAATCTGACACCTACCCATACCTGGTCTGATCAAGCCATCTATCTCTCGGGACCGTTTAGTTGGCTAACATAACGTTTGTTTGGAAGGATGAAATAGCGCCTATATAATACATCGGATATTTTCACTAATCATTGTAAGGGCCAACTTATTTCGAAGTGGAATGCGTAGGATCGCAAAAAGGATTGCTCTGCGCTTGAAGCTCTGTCATTTGATACCGCTTGTTCCTTGAAATATCCCTCTGCTGTGTGAAACAACTCTTTAAAGCAACTTTTTAATTGCTTTAACCGTATTATGGGTACAGTTTCTTTTGTTCGAGTGGGACAAGATTTGCAACGTTTCGTTCATTTTGTTCCTTTTTTGTTCGGAGATGCGAGAGCGCTATCGCTGCGAGGTGTCGTTGCTCTGGGATTTTTCTTCTCCGCCTTAATCGCTGCTTGTGCACTGTCGGTTTTCTGATCTTGACGACTTCCCGTTGGAGCTTTACCGTCTCGACCAGCATGAGCACCTGGACGACCGGCTAATGGTGTAGGGGTTACGGGTGCAGTATTTTCAACTGTACGTGCATATTCCGCTGTTGCAACTCCTGTATCTCTTTTGAACGTTAGAACTCTGCATTCTAGTCGTCTGAAATGGCAGCTGTTTGCAGTATGGGACAAATATTGCGACGCTGTGCTTACCCGCTTACATGGAGTACTGCAGCTTGATTGTCGAGCTCACCGCAATAGCACGGAGCCGAAAAGAGGGTCAAACACTTTTTCTCGGCAAAAAATTCGTATCTGAAAACAAAGATGTACACATGGATTTCATGACAGAGTAGTGCACCCTATTTCGTGCCTCATGCTTGGAAAGTCGGCGACTCAGCGGTAGAGAAATTGGCAGTCAGTGAAATAAACAAGTAATACAACTGGTAATTAACTGTTGTAGGGACAAGTGCCTTGTGGACTCGTCAGAGTACCAGATGTAAGTTAGCACTGTTGACACGATCAGTCCACGGATCGTACTCCGACCATGCCGAGCTGTTCTCCCCTGAGGACACATCATCGTTGTGTAAACCAGGGTCGCTATTAGCCGGTGAGGAGGGAGTCGTATTTAGGCTCGAAATCAGTTGAAAATATTTGATTTTCAAATTTTTCCTGCGCAGTGTACAACCCTCTCTCCCTCCCCACTCAAAATATTAGCCGGCGGCGCGTCAAAGCTATCATTTCAGATAGTTGGAGGTCGCGAGTGTTTGCCCGAAGCCCAACCTCTTCTCATTCCGTTTGACGCAAAATAAGTAATAAGGAGTAGTAAGAGAGGTTGTTATTGTGCGAGAGGGCATACCAAAGGAGGAAACAGGGGTAGAGGTGGTAAGAGAGGTTGTGATTGGAGGGAGGGTAACAAAGGAGGAACTTGGTAGTGGAGGTGGTGTTTAGCAAAAATTTTCCACAGTTGATAATGTATGTCGCAGTCTTCGATTCCGTTCGGAAGTCATGTAGAGTAATTACCACAGCTCGGACAGTACAAAGAATTCTGAGGTGTTTCCTTCCGTACGCAATCGCCAGCCCGATTTTACCTCCTCGTTACGAACTCACCCGTCCATAACGCACTGGTGTGCACGACATATGAGGTCAACATGCATTTTGCTACAGAAGTTGTTCACAGCTTCTTTTCCGAATACCTGAATTCGCATCATAACCCTCCAGAAGAATCTGAGCACTGATTTCTGAGCACTGATTATTCAGGCATCTTCCTTACAGAAGAGACTCCACGTGGACTCGGATCAAACATAGTGCAAGCAGTAGATGGGTCTGACCATATAAGGTCACACAACAGTCCAATATCACAGATGTCCGTTGGCCGGTAAACCCTGGAAAATCTCGAAGTTGAAATTCCATCAGTTCTTTCCATGGTCGTGGGGGTCCTTCGACCTTCGAGATATACTGTACTGTTGTCTGAATGTGGAGATCTACACGTGTACATGGGTCCGTTTTCAGCAGATTTCGCCTCGACCGGCAGCCCAGATTGGAACTCCGCTAACGTAGTAATTCAGATACTTGTGATTGTTTCTGACGTCCCGGTCCGCTGGTCGGTGCAAGCACGCATGCGTACTTCGCTTAGCTTTCTGGTCACTCTGATAGCGCTGCTAAATCCCTCGTGCGATCAGAGCAAGCTAGTCGCCTAATTCGTTCAAGAAAGTCAAGCTATCACAAGCTTTAGGCTTCCTTGCCAGGCTTTTCTGATCGCGAAAGTGCCCAGTTCAGTGCTATGCGACTGCCCAGCTTGTACACAGAAGGATTCCCTTCTCTCAGGTAATCGAACTTGTTTTCTTCAGACTAGCTTAAAGGAAAACCCCTTCGAAAACGATCTTCGCTATCTACGAAGTGAATGAGTTGGCAGTTGCTGTAGCGTGCCACTTTCTCCGCTTAAAAGTGTGCGGGAACGGGGCTGGAGAGTAGGATACCCGCAGCTGTCTCCATACTCTGCCCTCGCTATCCCCGATGTGCGTCGGTCCACGGTCCAGGACGACACATGTCCTCAGTGGTGGATACAACCAGGGGTGGGGAGAGCGCAGACAAGTGGAGCGTCTGGCTATGGCTAGGCGCCTCGCCAACCGTGCGGCAGCGCGAGGAGAAGTATCTAGTCGGCACCGGGGTATCACTGCCCTCAGTTCTAGCTTGAATTCCGTGCACTTCTGAGCGGAGAAAGTGACAGGCTAATGCACTGTGGGCCCGTTCCCTCCCTCCCCCCCTCCTCCCTCATCCTTTATCCCCCTCCCTCACGGACAGCAAGGAGTATCCACAGCGATAAGTGTGGAGTTTTGTCTTTCAGTGAAGGCGTGATCCTGTGCAATACACTATTGACCCTAACGTGCCTTTCAAATTGCTTGAAACGAGATAAGATCTTCCGATATTCCTCCATGAGCGCAAAAGATTTTTGAGCCAACAAGACCTGCCATCGGAAGGCAGTTGAACACATGTTGGAAGAGTGTCCATAGTTCGACTCCTGAAAAGTTTTTTCTACTTAGGAGGGGCATCGCACACACTTCTCTACATTCATTAATTTGTTCGGTGTTTCAAGGTACTGTGGAAAAGTGACTAGTTGATTTCTGTTGCGCAACAGCCTCGTATCAGCTTGTGGCATCGATATGTACTGCATTCGAGTGGACAAAGTCATGCTGGCGCAACTATGGTCAAGTTCGGTAGGGTGATAGACTTCTGTGTCTTCATGCAATAGCCATGAAACAGCCGCAACGCAGCCGCGCGTGGATTAGAGCCTACGTTCACACGCTCTAGACCCACTGCGGCGACATACATGAGCACACAGACCTTTTCGTGGGAATTTCTTCTTGCATTCGTCAAAAAAACCATACTGTCTGTTCACACATCTGGTTTCGTGATTTCCGCGAAGTAAATAGACCTCTTTGGGGAATCGTAACTGCAATCAGGAAGCGATGTCTATCCTATCGGTAGACAACTGTTCTGGTATAGTTGGCGTACCTTGAACGCGAGTAACATGGTAATAGTTTCCAAGCTGTAATCTCCTCTGTCCACGTAGTCACCGAGGAATAATAATCGTTTATGTGGTGGATAACCAATCTGTAACCAGGTATAGTGTAGTTCGCTGCGGACGGTTGGGCGTGTCAGTGCGGCTGCGTTTGGCGCGGTGCCAAACTCGTTCTCCACCAGTTGTTGAAGCGGGCAAGTGACAATACTGTATCATATCCTTCGTATTACTCGTTACTCTTAGACATGGTAGTCCTGTCTGCACGGGGACTGTACTGACTCATTTTCACGATGCGGGGCTCTCCATCAGCCGGCCCGTAAACCTGGTCTGGTCACCGAATTTGCAGCTTTTGCATGATGTGATTTGGCATTGACAGTCGAACTGATTGTCTGGCACGATGAGGTTTGAGGGCATGTGGCGCGATAAGTCGACAAGGCGTGTAAGCTAAATACGCCTAGCACAAAAGAATATTGTGTCCCTAAGCAAGCGCTTCATTGCGCTTTTTCCAACCAGTCTCCTTTATTTTCATTTCTTTTCCAGCCAAGGGTGCCATTATAGCGCCTAACCAAGGATCCAACATGCCGAGTCAGACGCCCACTGCAACCGCCCGCCCACAAATGGTCGCACAACCACATCGCTGATGATACTCTTGTCGCTTCATCTGCAAAGTACAGTCCTCATCATTGCGGACCGGTGGGGCGTGTCAGCCAGAAGGAGTGCGCACACTGTTGAAGCCGTTCTCAGCCTTTTTTGTTGCAACGCGTATGCGACAAAAAGTGGTAGAAAACGAGTAATACGAAGGATAATACAGTAATGCACTTGCCCGCTTCAAAAACTGGTGCAGAACGATTTTGCCAAACCGCACCAAACGCAGCCGCACTGCCACGCCCCACCGGTCCGCAATGATGAGGACTGTAGAATTGATATGAAGCGGCTGCTCTGCTGTGTAGATATTTGGAAACATTCATGCAGCAGTATCTAGCATTCGAAGTTGCTTTCTGTCAACTAAATATTCGCCCATTATAGTGCAGACGAAGGCTTTTCGCAGGTTTTCGACGTTCGAAAAAGAAGAAGAACCTTTAGGAAGATCTTATGTAGGACTGAGCTGTGCAGAATTGAGCTTAAACGAGTGACAAGTGGGCGGTAGAAGGGCAAGAGAATCACTAATTGCCGCTTCGTCGCGCGCGGTAATGGGTGCGACGTTCTCCTTGATTTGCACCACCCTTTCGACTGGAGCATCGGATTTCATGTAGACAAGGGTACGGTAGACACTTACAGTCCTCATCATTGCGGACCGGTGGGGCGTGTCAGCCAGTATGAGTGTGCACACTGTTGAAGCCGTTCTCAGCCTTTTGTTGAAACGCGTA